TTATAAATAATAAGGATTAATAGAAAAACTTCCTTTAAAATAGAAATGCGATGTTACAATACATCAAATCATCCAAACAAGCTTAGATCTTGGGCCCTTACTTTAACAAATTCATCATTGTGGGGTTGTAAAACTCTGCTCGATTCTTGATTCTCGAACGATGAAAGCACTATTCCTATTAGAGCATGATTAATCCTCGCTAATTGTTGTTAATGTGCTAAAATAGGGTCTTTGTTCTTGTTGCTATTATACAAACCTTCAACAAAGCCCCCATCTTATGTCCTTTCTACATGTTGTTAGTGGATATCCGATCGATAGGGTTGGTACTACTATTTAAAATGGATGGGAGAGGAGGGAAGTCCACATTTGATTGTGGATTCATCCCATCTAGTGATGGCATAGCCATACAAAACTAGGGAAAACCCTAAATGCGGTGGTGGTTTAGAGAATTTCAAAATCCTAGAGAGAGAATTCTTTCTTCATAATTTCTTTTGTTAATTTATTTGTTGTTGCTTTGACTTTGTCATTTTAGTTGTTGACGTCATTTTTTAGCCTCAACTCTCATTGTTTGTTTGCTTAAATTTGAACTCTCATTTTGACTTATAACTTGCATTGGTGATGCTTCTCTTTCCTTTTTATTTTCTCTATTTTTTTTTTTTTTAACATTCTCCTTTTGTTTTGGAATCATCAATGGGTTCGTGGACAAACTTCCAAGCAACATTTTTTGAGAGTTTCATCCGTCACCTATGAACTTCACATTTTGCTTCTAGTATGAGGAGTGATTATAGTCCCTTATAAAAGAAATCATCAAAGCTCAAAGTGAAATGATAAGGCTATAACCATTTGTGAGATATATGAAATATGATTTTTCTTAATCTTAAAAACTAATTCGTCTATACTTGATAAACAATAATCTCTTTTTGAAAATAACGATTGATTTGGAAAACCCTTAGGCTATCCGAAGAGAAAAGATGATGAGTTGAATATGGGATCATGACCCAAAGATGTATTATTCATCATTATTTTAGTCTTCTAAATTTGGACTTCATAGCATTATTTTAGGCAAAACATTCCTTCAAGGGTTTAATTGAGAAAGGAAAAAAAAAGTTTCTTTTTTGGTTCTAACAAGAGGGATTGCCCCTTGTTTTCTACTTAAACATGGCTATCGAAGGGAAAAAAGGAAGATATATTTGGCTTCAATAAAATGAGGGATTTCTTTTAGCCTCTATATGTCATGCTCTAAAATTTGATCAGTTTTAAATTTTTGAATAAATTTGTTATTAGATTTCCTTGATGGAGAAAGAGATAATGTCAAATAATATTTTCAAACCAACATCTCTTAATTTCAAATCAGATAATATGAAATAACAAAAAGAGAGTATGAGCTATTTCTTTACTCAAAGATACAATCTAATCCATATATAACAAAATATTCTTAAAAATAGAGTTCAAAATTTAACAAATGTTAAAAGACAGTATTTGTAAATTATAAACATAAGCCTTCTTTGAACATCTAAACACATTCTTCCACGTTGGGCATTCTAATCCTCATATGTAAGCATTCCTTGAACATCTAAACACATGCTTCCACATTGGGCATTGTAATCCTCATATGGTACTTAGCTAGGGCTTCTTTCTCTAGCAATCTCTAGATCCGTCTCGGGGTGCATGGTGTCAGCAAAATCATTCTTTAGAATCATGGTTTCTATAGTTTAGGATCTGCAGACCTATTTCACTAGATGAAATCCCCTCGAGTTTTTCTCAACTTTCTCTACTCGCAGCATCTCCTAAACCATCATTTTGTCAATCTCCTGATAGAACAAATTGATAATTTTATGAAAAAAAAAATGCAATTAGATCAGAGATAATTGGTAGCTTTATAAACCAAAAACTGATAAGTGGCTGCCAGTTATTTTATGCCTCGACTTACTATAGTTACATTATCAGTTATCAGAATTCGAAAGTAGGATACAATAAACAGAGGTCACCAAAAGAAAATGAAAATGTCTTCAGATGCTAGTAAATATTTTTGGCTTGGGTAGGAAGATAATTGGATTGGATTTGTGTATCATCTCATTGTTTTCTTCCATTAAATGTCGAATCAATAAAGATAAATATACAGACTACAATAGAGATTAACATCACCCCATTAAGCTAATTGACATTTATGGACGAGGAAAACCACAAACTTCACCAATATTATAACAGGTGAGCCCACACTAAAGTATACAATTACTATATACATTTAGATTTATTAGCTCAAATTCCAAGTTTTTTAGTTAAATTATCACAGTTCATCCAGAATCAATGCAGAAAGAGGGAAAAAAAAAAAAAAAAAAAAAAAAAAAAAACTTAATTTTAAGTTATAAATTACTGAAACACCAAGACCACTTCTAGATTCAACCTAATTATTGCATCAGTCTGCAGTGCTTCAGTGCTTTCATGAGACCACAAAAGAGAATAAAAAAGGTTACTGGCTGGAATGTCTGACATTGTTGATACAAATCACTCTGTTTACCACCAGACAGCTCCACCTGCACATAGAACAATCACAGAAGATGTAAATCATGTAAATAGAATTTAGTACCCTGCGGACAAGCAGGAACAGATTTTATACCGTAACAATTATAACGCATAGAAAAGAACAGGCATTAAGAAAGTAAAGACTTGATGTAATAGGTGTCCTCTCTTCAGGTAATCCGTTCACAGCAAAAAGACTTTGGTAGGTTATAAGGATGGAGAGCAAAGCATAACAAAATGGACAACCAACATTCATAGAACTCATCACATAGCATCATAACAAAAAAGAGAAGGGGGGTGTGGGGTGCGGCTGCTGCAGAAAGGAAGTCATTGTTCCAACCGGTCATTTTCCATAATCTGTTCACACCCCTCCCCAGGTACTCATAACATGGTCTCAGGTTCAGAATTCAATCATTTGATAACAAAGACAGTTAGACTAGTCCCAGATCATCACTTGCCTCTAAAGCTCACTGTTCAAGCTATGGTATGTTAGCTAATTAAAAACTTAAAATCAAGTTTCTTAATCTAAATAAAAAGAGCTCAATAGAAACATGGGATAACAGCTAAGGAAATCATCATACAATGATATTGAACTCTTTATTCTGCTTATCCAATTCTACTCTTTCTAGTGATGAAGGTTCCCCAAAACCTATTATTTGAAGCAAAAGTTTACTTCTCAGCTCAAATTGGTTAATTCCAAAAGTTAACATCCTTCGATTGCGATCTGAAGAGATCAAAAACTATAGTCGCTCTTCAGCTAAAGATATGATCCACATAACGATCAGTCAGCTGAGATCTTCCCCCATGGGTGCTAAAGGGGGAACTTCTCTATACATTAGCTTAATAATTTAAACTCATTTCTCTGAAGGTGTAACATAAAAATATTCTTAAAATTGTCAGCTATAGTCACTCCACAATGATGCGGCATCAGAACACTTCAGAGTGACATGTTTGCCTTTCAAGATATGTGTGTGTGTGTGTGTGTACATGTATGTATATATGTTTTTTTTTTTTTTTTTGGTAACTGTAAACTATTAATATTACGAGTTAAATAACTAGGAAAATGATAGCTAATAACATAGATGTGGATCCATAAAGGTTTGTCTAGTCACCTTGAAAACCACTACCACCGGTATGAGTATCAGTTTGATTCTTTACACTTCAAAAGGCAAGGATGCCACAAAAATCACAAAAAAAGGGGGTTCATTCTAACCCTGTAATCACATAAATTGTTCACATGTGTGTGTGTACATGTGTGTATATATGTTTTTTTTTTTTTTGGTAATTCTAAACTATTAATATTACGAGTTAAATAACTAGGAAAATGTGTGTGTGTGTGTGTGTGTTTTTTTTTTTTTTGGTAACTCTAAACTATTAATATTACGAGTTAATAACTAGGAAAATGATAGCTAATAACATAGATGTGGATCCATAAAGGTTTGTCTAGTCACCTTGAAAACCACTACCACCTGTATGAGTATCAGTTTGATTCTTTACACTTCAAAAGGCAAGGATGCCACAAAAATCACAAAAAAAGGGGTTCATTCTAACCCTGTAATCACATAAATTGTTCACATGCCAGTTTAGTTTAGCCCCGTTTGATTTACTTTCCCAAAATTTAAGCGCTGATGTCATCTAATCTAAAGAGTAAAACATCAAAAAACATTCCAAAATCAGTATAGATAATGTCAACAAAGAATCATCAACAAGTCGAGCCTTCAACCAGAAAAGGCAGAAAAAAAAATCCCAGCATCAATGTAGCCATAAACCTCAACCAATCATATCCATCTATCCTCTCCTTCAGCTCCTCTTTGCCTCCTTCACTCTCTCATATATCCTTCAATCAGAAGAATCATAAACCTCTCCAATTGCATTAAATCCAGGGCATTTTATGTCATTTCACTAGTAAAACTATAACACAGAATTCAAACGTACAAATCAATACGAATTATATAGCTAATGAAATTACTTAAATCACAGCGATGAGGTTCACTCTCAAATATATCATTTGAAGCCCAAATCTACAGCCTAGCTCAAATTAGTTAATTCCAGAAGGTTAAAAATGCTGCAATCAAAGACTAAAGAATAAAAATTTATAGCTGCTCTTAAGCAAATCTGATACAAATAATGTCCCTTCAGCAGCTTTTTTGTTCCACCTCAACACCAAAAGGGAGCTTTTCTTTGTCTATAATTAGCATAACAATATAAGTCTTCTCAGAAACTATATCATTAAGCTCTGAACAGAGCTATTTAAGCCAGAATTTAAGCATGATAGTTAGCATAATCAAAGAAATAAAATGAAATATATTGACAATCAGCAGGGAGAACGACATCAATGAAGGAATCAACTATAATTTTAAACTTTGAGACCATGATGAAAAAAAAATCCTGAATCCAACAATTAATGCCGAATTCAAATTATCATAAAAAAAAATAATAATAATAATAACACATACCTAAATCAACAAATCCATCTCTGTCTATCTAATCTTCTCCATCCCAGAACTCCTCTTTGCTGCCTCCTTAATTTTGTTAATATAACCTTCAATCGGTGGAGTCAAAGTAGCCATAAACCTCTCGGCCGGAAAAGGCGTTAAATCTGGAACTAAAGCTGCCTTCTTCAAATTCTCAGGTAACGCCTCAATGGCCTCCTTCTTACACCTCAACAAATTACTCTCCGCAGCCTGCCTCGCCCTATGCTTCCTCATCAACACCCTACTATACTCCTTCGCCAATTTCTTCCCATCCTCCTCAGTCAACTCATATTTGGGTATCTTATCCACATCAACCAATCCTAAAGTAATCAAATCTAAACCAGGAGTCCCAATAATCATGGGCTCATCAGGAACTCCCATAGCTTGCCTTCCACCTTTCTTAAAAATCTCCTTTTCGCGAATCCTCCCTTTACTTAGAAGCCCCAATTTCTCTCTTTCTGCTTCACGAGCACGATCTTTGGGCTTTAAGTAACGAACTGGGGTTGGTGCGTTGATGCATTGATCATAGAGACGATATTTTTCAGAATCTTGACGTGATAAGGGTTTTGAAGATGGGTCTTCAGGGTCTGATTTTTTTCCCTTCTTTGTTATTACTTTTGAGCGTTTCTTGGCTTGCCCATCTTTACCTTTTCCTTTTGCCGTTCCACTTACAGAACAACGTTGGAGGAATTGGTGGGTTAGAGACTGAAGCGGTTGCTGTGTTCTTCCGATTCTAAACATTTTCAAGGATTGAGTGTGACAGTGCAGTAGAATGAGACTGCAGAGTGGGAATTTTTAGGAAATGGAGAAGAAGAAGAAGGAGAGTAGGGTTTTCGGTGTAGTGGGCTGGGTCTAGTATGGGCTAGCAAAACGTTAGCCCAATTTAAAAAAAAAATCAAAAAAAAAAAAAAAAAAAAAAAGGCGCTTCTATTTCATTCCCTAGGATGAAATTAGAACCAAAACTACAGTCGAGTCAAAAAAAAAAATTTTAAAAAAAAAAAAAAGTAACCAATTCCATGAAAACGGAGATCAACATAGTTTAAGAAGAAAAGAGATAATTGACAAAACCAGATAGTCATATTTAAATAACATGAAATATATAATTTAAAAAATTAAAAGGAAATGTATTTGAAACTAATTTTATGAATGAAAGATATATAATTGACAAAACCAGATAATCATATTTAAATAAAATGGCATAAATATTTTTTTACATTGCGTATTGTCCATATTGTATGTACTGTACATAGATATGACAATAAATTTTAGGATGAAAATTGAAATTTTCACATATATTCTACTATTATTTGTGGATAAAAATAGAGAGAGGATAAATTTATTAAAATTACAATAAAAATTGTGAAGACTCGTTGAAACAAACCGAACTTTTAAGAAGAATGGAAAAATTAAAATTTACCTTATATGTAATTTTATCTGCAAGTTTATATTTTGACTTGTAATATAATTATTTTTTTTTTTTTGAAAAAAAACATAGTCCGTACTTGTATAATTTAGTAAGTGTCTAATCTAACCTTTTTATCTTAAAATGAGTCATTATATTTATATATTTTAAGTGAGTTTCGATATATCTTTCTAAAGATATTTTTTTGACGAAACCATCAAAAAAATGTCACATAACTTCTACATGAATAAATTTATATTGAAAATGCTCTTTACCGAAATGGGTACATGCAAGTCACCACTTATCACCATCTTTTCTCTCACTTTGGCCGAATTGGACTAAAAACAAGTATCAACACCCTCTTCTTTTTTCCTTTTTTTTTTTCTTTACAAATTTGTGGTGTTAGATTTGAATTTTGATAATTAAAGTGTGTTTGAGATGGTAACTTATCGGGAAAAAAATAGAGAAAAGTGGTGGGTTAGGACTCGATCTTTCTTTTTAAAAAAAAGTGAGAGGAAGGTGAAAATGATCAATTTTTATGTCTAAAAGTGTAGATTAGTGCGTTAGGGTCTAATTTTAGGTCAAATATTGAAGAGACCTTAACCAAAAAAAAAAAAAAATGGAGGTTTGGAATGGTCGGAAAAGTGATGGGATTGGTTATTTTGGGTTGATTTTGATCGGATTTCTAGAAGAGAAGGTGAGAGGAGAATGGGATGAAAGTGAAGAAGGAAAAGGAAAAAAAAAGGTTTTGTTCTTATCATTGGTTCGAGTGTGATGGACTTTCACAAGATTTATTTATGTATTTATTGAGCTTCCTTGTTAATTTACTCTCAACTTTAAATTCCAAATCCTAATTTTCTTTAACTTCCTAAAACTCATATTTATGTATTCATGTTCCTTTATTTATGGATTCTCAAGATTTTAACTTCCTAAAACCCATATTTTGTTTCTTGTTCCTATGGTTGCAAGTTTCACAAACACGTTTTCTAACTTTAATTAAAAGCATCACAATGTCCAAATAGTTGGTTTACCCCATATTTGGTTTTTGTATTGTTCGATTTTTTTATTAAAATCCTCCACTTTTTTTTAGCTTGGTTGAAACTCTCTATTTAAAAAAAAATAATAATAATTCGGACCCTTCATTAATTGTTCATTTGATGTGGTATATTATAATTACCGATAACTAATCATGAATGAACACATGGCAATATGGTTCTCAAATAACAATGTCTTTCTCCAAAATAGACTAATAAATATTATTAAACTTATCTTTAGTGTTTTAAAAAAAATTAAAAAAAAAAAAAAAACATTGCCCCCACCCTATTATCCTAACCCAAATCATTCTTTTGTATTATCAATCTCTATTTCTCATTCTCAAACCCGTTCAAACTAGCTAAAGAAAATGTAAATCCTTAAATCTTCAAATTCTTAAATCCCTAAAATTCTATTAGTCTAAACTCAAATAATTCTTTTGCATTCTCAAACCCTCCAAGCAAACTCAAATTTACTATGTCTATATTGGGACATAGGTTCGGTTTTTGGAATGATTCTTGTTACTATGGAATTTGCTATTCTTGGTTTCCTCTTTCCTTTAAATCGAGGTGGGTTGATGAAGGCCATGCTCCTTTTTTGGGTATTTACGGGTCTTTTGTTGGATATGCTTCGACTTGTTTTTATAAGATGTTTAAGGGAACTTAATCGGAAAAAAAAAAAATTACTTTGCAAACGACATTCATGTTTCCTACAATAATCTTTGCCATTTTCCTTGTCTTAAATGCTCTAATATATGGTAAAAAGTCATCTAGGGTAGTGTCTTTTGGAACCATGTCTTTATCATCCTTATTGTCACTTGTCTTGAGATCACAATTGTGCTTTGCTACTTCTAGTTGTGTAGTGAGGACTACCTTTGGTGTTAAGGTCTTATCTAACATCAAGGTCCTCTATGCTCTACCTCTTCCACTAAGTTGCTTTCTACTTCTTCATGAATCTTGATATTATGAAGCTATCATCTTGGATCTTAAGCTATATGTTGATTGCCTTCCTCCAAGTTGCCATTTTTGTTGCTTTCTTTGCATTGTCTAGCAAAATTGGCTTCTATGCATGCTTTTGGTTTACCGAGTCTCATCTACTCATCAATAAAGATTGATTAATTATTTGATGTAGCCTAAAAGAAATCAGCTTGTCTGTTTCTATGTAAGAAAGAGCAAATACATCATTTGATGCAATCCGAAATGAATGATACCGTAAAAAAAATGATTTAGGGTTGAGATAATAGGGTTTTAGTGATTTAGGAATTTAGATTTTCATTAGCTAGATAAAATGGGTTTGAGAATGAAAAATAGAGATTGATAATGCAAATGAATAATTTTGGTTGGGATAATGGAGTGGGAGGAATGTTGTCTTCTCTAATTATTTTTTAACACTAAGTATTAGGTTAACAATAAAAATGTTTTTGTTTTTTTTTTATCTCTATTTTTTGGATGAAAACATTGTACATAGAATCCACGCTACGTGTCTATTCATGATTAGTTACAATTAATTTTAACATGTCACACCAAATGAATATTTAATGAATTTATAACGGAGGGTCTTAATTAATAAATTTGTAAGAGCGAAGGGTTTCAATCAAATCAAAAAAGAATAGAGAGTCTCAATCAAAAAATTCAAATAATACGAGGGACCAAAAGTGGGTTAAATCCATCCAATATTTGTATAACTATCTTTTACAATTGTTTTATTCATGCAATCTTACTTTCTATTCCTTTACTTACAAAACGCATGTACATGTTTTTTGCTCTAATCAATAACAACACAATATCTCATATTTGTATAACTATCTTTCATAATGGCTCAATAATGGGTTTATCCCATATATGGTCTTTGTACTATTTGAATTTTTTTTAATTAAGACCTTCTACTCTTTTCAACTTAATTAAAACCCTCTATTCTTATAAATTTACCGATTCAAACCCTTTGTTATAACTCTATTAAACATTCATCCGATTTGCATGTTACAATTAACAACAATCAATCACGAATAGACACGTAGCATAATAGGTCCTATATGATAGTTTTTTCGTCCAAAATAAAATTAAAAAAATTTTATTATTAAACTAATACTTAGTATTAAAAAATTATTAGAAAAGACAACATTGTCCGCACTCTATTATCCCAACCAAAATTATTCTTTTGCATTATCAATATTTATTTTTCATACTCAAACCCATTTTATCTAGTTGAACAAAATCAAAATTTCTAAATCCCATTATCTCAAACCCAAATCATTGTCTCATTCCTTTCGAGTTGCATCAAACAAGGTATTTGCTCTTCCTCGCATAGAAACAAATAATCCGATTCCTTTCGAGCTACACCAAACAATTAATCAATCTTTATTGATGAGTAGATGATCCTAGTAAACCGAAGCGAGGCATAGAAGCCAATTTTGCTAGTCAACACAAAGAAAGCATATGAGGCAATCAATATATAGCTTACGATCCCAAACACTAGCTTTGTAATATCAAGCTTCATGAAGAATTAGAAAGCAACTTAGAAAAAGAGATAGAGCGCACAAGACCCTAATGTTAGATAAGACCTCCAACACCAAAGGTAGTCCTCTCGACATAATTGAAAGTAGCAAGGCACAATTGTGATCTTGGCACAAGAGACAACAATAAGGATGATAAAGACATGGTGTAACACCCACGACCTTGTACATCCTTATTCCCTCGTCTATATATGTGCCTCCTTGGTGTTTTCTTAGTTATTTAAATATGAAAGTTATGTTTGTGTTAGCATGAAAATTGTGTTTTATATGTGTATTGATATTGTGTTTTGTGTTTAGCTTTGATATTTAATTATCAAATTATATAAATGTGTAAGTAACCTAAAGACTTAATTGCAACGATCTTTGGACTAATTAAAATAATAAAAAGTTTAGGGACTAAAGTTTAAGGACTTAATTAAATTAAGTAATAAAGTTAAGTGACTAAATTATAAAGTGAATCAAATTAGGGGACTTGACGAATTCGGCTAGGTTGAATGAATTATACATGAGTTAAATTAGATTAACATCAAAATAAATTTTTAATAATGTTTTAAGTAAATGTTAGACTTAGGAAATTTCACGGAAAAGTAAGAGAATTCTAGAAAGGTTAACTAAGTTAAGTAATTAAGGATGGCCATCTAAGTGGCTATTTAAGTGGCAAAATCATAATAACTCACTTGAATAATTTGGCTAAGACAATGAAAAAAATGAGAAATATTCAACCTAACTTAGTAACATTTTAACCTTAACAAATTTAGAATAATCTAGATAAAGATCTTAGCTTAAATAATTTATACATGTGAACATTTTATAAGCTTCCTTGCACCCACCTAGTTCGACCAAGAGAGGAGAAAGATATAGAAAGAAAATTCTAGCTTAACCTAGAGAAATATGAAGCAAGAAATTTCTAAAAAACTTATTATTAAATTAAATTACTTAATTCAAGATACTTCTTAAGCTTCCATGAAGCTTCCTAAAGTCGAAAAAAACACTATAAATGCGAAAAGGATTTTCTAATTGAGGTTTGGCAAAATTAGGCTTGTTAAACACCAAAACATAAGAAGAAAAACTAATTGGGTTAAGGAGGAGCACAAGTGGCTGAAAGCTAGGGAGAGTTAGAGTTGGCCGAAATGTAGAGAAAGGGATTAAGCAAGCTTCGGGCGAAAATTTGTAAGGAAGAAGGTAAGATCTTTGTGAGTAGTTCCGGTGTTCTTACCACTAGCTAACCTTCAAGTAAGTGTAATCAAACACAACTACATCACAAGACATAGGACTTGTATGATTTATTTTATTGATGTACCTAATCAATGATTGATTATGTATAATGAAGTGATTCTTGGTTTAATTGATGATTGATCATGACTATGTTATGGTTGATTAATGATTGATCATGGGTGATCATGAGGTTAATTGATGATTAAAATATGAAATTATCTTAAAACATGATTTAGAAGTTTTAAGGATGTTATTGAATATTTGTGGGTTTTGTTAACAAATTAGGCTAAGGAATAAATTAGGGTTAATCGATCTAATATTCCTATGTATATTGATAATCATGTTAGTTTTGGATTATGTAACTATGTGATGATGTCTTTATGTGGTATTTAAATATATTTGAATTGTTATTTGGATTTTTCTTAACATATTTAGGCCTAATGATGATTTTGATGTTCCTTGATGTTTATTCATGTAATATGTTTATGCAATTGATTATTGTGTTGCTATTTAATGATACATGGTTAATTGATGCTTATATTCATGTTGTTTTTAAACATTTAGTTGTGATCCATGTTCAAAAAACAAATGATTCTTTGATAACAAATAAGTGTGTGGTGTTTGGATGATTCGGTTTATGTCCATGTTTAAGGAGATTTAGTTTAATGTTTATATATTCACTTGAAAGTTACATGTTAAGATTCGGCCAACTTTACTTGGAATGACGTAGTGATATTTCTATGTGTTTATTGATTAATTATGCAATGGATGTGCTAATTGATGTCATTGGTATGTTATTGTTTAATGCTACATGGATGAATGTTTAAGTGCTTCATTGGGAGGTGAATTTAGCCTATATGGTTAATTTAAGATTAATGATTATGTGTTATGTTATTTGATGACATTCACGTTGCAAAAATGTTTTCATCATCTTTCATGTATTCAAAGACAAAAAGAAGTGCATGGCTTTCAATAAAAGGATCATTTCAATCACAGGCTTTCAAAGAGAATGATCAACTCTTTGTGAGTGTCACGAGCTTCACATAGGACATGTCTAGTGCTTTTCATGCTTTTCACGATCATGGTTTTTATATAGGATCGAATATATACACATTTGGCACAATGTGTCGGATCACATGAAATATTTTTCAAAGTCATGAAAAATATATATTTTTTGTATCATGCACACATGATTTCACTTACTAAACATTAGTCACTAGTTGTCTTGTGATGTAGGTAAATCAATGAGGTGTGAAGATTGATGTGAAGTTGATGATGATGTCGAAAGGAGTCGAGCTTACCGAACGTGTACTAGAATCATAGGTTAAATGTTGCGGGTTTAGATATTTTCTATCTTTAATGTTCCGGTATTCTTTGTTAACTTAGTATGTTAATAAATAAATGAATGGTTTTGAGATGTTTATAAATTAGTTTAATGGTTTGGCAAGTCTAATCGAATGGTTAAATAATATGAATTAATTAAAAAGGTTCCTAATAAAATGGTTAAACAAAATAATTTTTAAAATTCAATAAAATGGTTTTCTATTATAATACTTAAATGGTTTCAATGGCCGTATTGCTTATTAAACTTGAATTGGTTTTCATAATAATAATAAATGGTGTTTAATGAACTAATAAATTAATAGGTAAAATTGATTTGTAAATGTTCAAGCATTTATGGAACTTAAACTTGAAATGGCTTCCAACGAGCTTAACTTTAAGAAGTTTAAAAATTCTAATCATTAGTTTTATTTCTATTAATTGATTTTAGTCTTTAAATCAAATAGCCTTCCTTTGCATGATGTCTCACATTCATTGTACTTTGAGTGTGAGGCATTGTTGGTAACATTCTTGGTCTTAGTTAAGTAAGAGGTGTTACACATGGTTCCAAAAGACACTACCTTAGATGACTTTTGACCTTATCTTAAAGCATTCAAGACAAAGAAAATGACAAAGAATGTTGTAGGAAACATGAATGTCATTTTCAAAGTAATTTTATTCTATTATGTTCCCTTAAACATCTTACAAAAAAGAGCTGAAGCATATCCAACTAAAAGACCCATAAATACCCAAAGAAGGAGCATGACCATCATCAACCCACCTTGATTTGAAGGGGAGAGGAAACCAAGAGCAACAAATACCACAATAACAAGAATCTTTCCAAAAAACTAAACCAATGTTCCAACATAGACACAATAAATCTGAGTTTGTTGGTGGGTCTGAGAATGCAAAAGAATTATTTGGATTTGGAATAATGGAATTTTAGTGATTTAGGAATTTATGGACTTAAATTTTCTTCAAATAGATAGAACGAGTTTGAGAATGGAAAATAGGGATTGACAATGCAAAAGAATGATTTGGGTTTGGAATAATGGAATTTTAGTGATTTAGGAATTTAGGGATTTAGGGATTTAAATTTTCTTCAGCTAGATAGAACGAGTTTGAGAATGAAAAATAAGGATTGATAATGCAAAAGAATGATTTGGGTTGGGATAATAGGGTCTTTACTGCGGTAGAAGGAATTAAATGAAGAAGTAGGTGCTAATGCTGCTGATGCTGAAGAAATTTTGGGCACACCGTTGCATTGAAGAGAAGCATTATTATTAGGCTTAATCTGCAATGGACAAGGAGCTCTCCTTTGTAGCCTGCTTAATGGCCTCCTGTATTCCAGCTCTTCTTTGTGAACGCAGGTTTGGAATCCAGGAAACTCATCACCAGAAGCCTCCATTTTCTGTTGCTGCCTCCCTTTTTTTTCTCTGCTTCTTCAGTCCTATAATTTGGCGTACATTTGACTGATTTAATTATTTTAAGCAAATTGATATGCACAGGAGAATTAATTATACACCATATCTCCTGCCAATAGCTAGCTGATGACGGGGACTTATCAACTAATCAGGCTAACCCATAACTCCAAGGCATAAACCTAGTAGTAAAGGAAGTTTGTTTTCTTTTTTATTTTTTCGAGTTTGAATTTTAAAACCAATAATTAAAACAATTTGTTATTCTGCAGATCAATATGTAGACGTATTCTTAACATCCCTCAGGAATAATAATAATAATAATCTCTAATTCAACACATAGACTTCTTCGAAAATAAATAGGGAATCAATTTCTTTTATAATACTAAGTATAAGTTTAATAATATATATATTAAGTTTATTTCAGATAGAGACAAGTGTTACTTGAGACTCATTTTGTCATGTGTCTATTTGTAATTGATTATCATTAATTTTAACATGTCACGTCGGATGAACGAGTTAATAGAGAGTCCGAATCAATAAATTTTTAAGAATAAAAGGTTTTAATCAAGCCAAAAAATAAAGAGTTTCAATAAACAAAAAAAAAAAAAAAAATCAAACAATACAAGAATTACATATGAAATAAATTAGTTAAATAATAAAAAAGAACCAACTTTAGAGGAATTACTTCAACAATCCAATCCTATGTTAGACTTTGTCGTATGGCTTTACGATAATACAATGGTCATAAGTGACACATGACATTTAAATTGTTCACTTGTCAAAAGTGATAGAGAATTATCGGTGTTTTGCTATTATTTCACTATTATATATTGATTGATTGCATATATGGCATAAAGTCATGGACAAACAATTTTCATATAGGATGAAAATTAAAAAATTTACTTACCTAATGAATGAATGAATGATGTCATGTAACTTAAGAAAAAAAGAAGCAAACCATTTACCTGAATCTTAATATGCTCGTGTATTAATCATACAATTAATGAGTTTTTTTTCCTTTATTCAATCGTGAAATGCAACCACATTTATTTTAAAATCTAAACCTTAATTTTTTTCTTGATGAAATCATGACATGAATCGAATTCATACAATTTTAAAGAAACTTTTCGCTTTTATAGATTTCTAAATCATATAACTCAATTCATATGATATCATTGATATGATATGCGGGTCGAATTTTTATTTTACTTGGAAATTATTTGTCCCTATCACATATAACCAATGAACTAATTGAATAATAGGTAACAACTGGCTCCAATTGAGCCAATTAGGAACGTGGGGGTAATTTTGAATAATGTAGACAAATACAAGGGCAAATGATAGTTTATGCCGTGCCAAACCTCTAAAACAATGAAGCATTGAAGCGGGCCATTAGTTGGTCTAAGCCCAACAAAGTGTTCGTTTAACCAGACACCTTGAGCTTCCCCTGAGCTAGGCATCGAACATCCATCCCAATTTCCATCTCTACACGCGTCTTCTTCTTCTTCTTCTTCTTCTTCTTCTTCTCTCCTCTTCGTCTTCTTACGTTACTTTCACAAAGCTACTTTTAGCAATCAAACCTCACATTCATTTCAATTAGATTCCATATTTCACAGAATTGAATTTTTAGGGTTTTGAAGAAAAAAAAAAACAAGAAGAAATGCTAGGTGGATTATATGGAGACCTGCCTCCACCGTCCGCCACGGCGGAGGAAGAAAAATCAACCCCCAATACCTCCACTGTATGGTCTACTAGCACCTTAATGGCACCACCTACTCTCCGTAAACCCATGGCATCGCCACTAACTATTTTAAAATCCCAAAACAAACCTAAACCCCCAGTCTCCGCTTCCAAAACTTTAATTTCTCCGGTCGTGGTTGCGGCACCGGCTGTTACAGTGCTATCTGATGAGGTGGCTGCGCAACCGGCATTCGTAGGGATGAATTCGGTTGTTATTGAGGAGTATGATCCGGCGAGGCCGAATGATTATGAGGATTATAGGAGGGAAAAGAAAAAGAAGGTCATGGAAGCTGAGAGGTTAAGGGAGATTGAGAGGAGGAGGCAAGAGGAAGAGGAGAGAGAGAGGAAGGAGAAAGAAGACAGGGAGAGGGATAGAGAGAAGGATAGGAATATTTCTGGGGAAGAAGCGTGGAGGAGGCGTGCAGCCATGAGTGGGGGTGTTCCGAGGAGTCCTTCGCCACCCAGTAATGTGGATGGGTTTAGTATTGGGAAATCAGAGACAGTTGGGTTGGGAGTTGGTGCTGGTGGACAAATGACTGCCGCGCAGAGGATGATGGCGAAGATGGGGTGGAAGGAAGGGCAAGGATTGGGGAAGCTGGAGCAAGGGATTACGACACCATTGATGGCAAAAAAGACTGATCGGAGGGCTGGGGTTATTGTGAACGCTAGTGAGACGAAGCCAGAGAAGAAGGTGAAGAGTGTGAATTTCAATGGAACGCCAACTCGTGTTATGCTACTAAGGAATATGGTATGCATATTTTTTTTCGTTCTGTTAGCGAATGTTTTGATGCATGTCTTGGTTGGTGTAAATGATGGAAATTAGATCAAATGGACAATATGAATGTATATGAATGTATTAGTATACATCTTAAATGCGTAGCAAGTAATTTGCACTCTATGAACGTAACCACAAAGAAATTGTTCTATTCTTTGTTTGCAATTTATTCTTTTGTATTTTGTAATGCCTTCTTAACATGTTCCAATGATTCCGTTTGCATTATTTCCCTTAGTAAACAAGAAGCTGCTTTGCCGTCTACTACTTGATATTTCCCATTGTTTCTGTATTGAGGTTCACTAAGATTCAATATATTCTAATTTCATCAAGTGAATATCTAGCCTACCATATCTTGCTTTGCTGTCTATGAAGCTTGTTTCTATTATGGCTAAGTGCACTGGTGTAGGAGTTTAATAGCAATAAATTTGGCTCTGTAATTTTATCTAGCAAACATCTGCGGTCTGCCTTTCTGTTACTTCTTTTATTGTGTTTGCATCAAGGCCCAAGTAGGTGTGATCTTTATGTCCCCTGATGTAGTTTTTTCTATGAAGGCAAAATGCTGAGGTGTTAGAGCTGATAGAGAGAATTTGGTAGGTAGCAAGATTAGCAATGTTCACTGCTAGTAGTACTGTAATCATGTATGTGATGATCTCAGAAATTTAGAAATTGAGTTTTTAATGTTGCTAAGGTAGTCATAGTCTATTACTTTTCTTAGGAAAGCTCTATGGCATCTCTGTCCAGACTTAATTAGGTAATTGTGTCAAGTATTTTCCACATCTATGAATGGCGTTATAGTGCCCTAAGGAAAGAGAATTCTGGGCATTTGATAGAATGCACCATGAAGCATCCGAATGAGGAGAATTTGTGCATTGAGATTAATGTTTGCAATTGAGGATTTTGTTCTGTTGGCCACCGATGCACCGGCTTTTCTCTTGGCCATATACTTAAGCAGCTTGCTTATTTCTTGTTTCCCACTAAAGGCTGTGGTTTTGGAGTGCTTGAGTTTGGAGCTTTAACATGCTTTTTTGAAATTTCAAATTCCCTCCTCTACGTGGGAAATTTTTGTGCATTTTATGAATATTTGTTAGGGAAGAATGTTGACGGTAGGTTATGGGTATTCTTATCCTAAGATAAGTGATGGACTTGTTCACCAATGTATCGTCTCAAAGAGGTTTACACTCATTGAGATCACTCTTGAGTAAACTTTAATTTCTTCAGTTTCCTTTTGTTTTATTGTATTATTATTGTTTACTTGTCCTAAGAAGATTTAGTAAAATTGCTTTAGTAAGTCTGGAGGAGTGATGTTAGTACAAACCAGTTAATTGAAAGATCATCTTCTTGCATTTGCCCTTAAATTGCTGGATTTGATTATGCTTGAAATGTTCAAACCACTCTCCTTTTTGTAGTCAAAGTCAGCAGAAATCACTAGATATTTTCTATAGGCACTTATTTGAGCATCCCATTTCTGTAGTTAAAGTCAGCAAATCATATGATGCAAAATGGTTCCAGTCCAATCTTTTCTCTCCACAGATTTGAGCAATTTTGACTCACATTTTGCTATCAGTATCATACTACTATCCTTTGGTAGAAGCTGTTATTGATTGACAGATAACTGGATGCTCCTAAGAGTATGTAATTCTTTCTTTTAACTATCAGAACGAAATTCAGTGCTGAACCTGTTGCATGATTAGCAGTGTTTCAGTACCTGAGTTGTGGTGAAATAATTTCTGTGTTAATGTTTGCTGTGCCATCTGTCATTATGTCAATATTTAGGTTTGGTGATGGAACTGAAATTTATTTTCTAATGTGATTGCTATTTGGTTTCTTTCTCTTCAATTTTTTTTTTTTTTAACATCTTTGTTCATGGAGCTGCTTGGATGTTGTATGGGTTTAATATAAACTTTCTATCAAATGCTTAATTTTGTGATTATTGACGGAGATGAGAATTTGCTGAAAATATTTCCTTTTTTTCCCCCTAAAGGTGGGCCCTGGTGAGGTAGATGATGAACTAGAAGATGAGGTTGGTTCTGAGTGCTCAAAGTATGGTACAGTCACTCGGGTTCTTATATTTGAGATCACCGAACCAAACTTCCCACGTGAAGAAGCAGTTAGAATTTTTGTACAGTTTGAGAGATCAGAAGAAACAACAAAAGCATTGATTGATCTTGATGGGCGGTTTTTTGGGGGTAATGTGGTTCGTGCAACATTCTATGATGAGGAGAAGTTCAGCAAGAACGAGTTGGCTCCTATTCCTGGTGAAATCCCGGGCTTTTGATGGATGATTGAATAAGCTTCCAGGTTTCCTTCATGATCAGCAGGAAAGTTAATGGTGAACTCTTATTTTGATTCCATTTTACTGTGAGAATTAAGCTGCATAGTACTTGGGTTCTAGCTTTGGGTTGGGTGGAGTGTAAACTATGCTTCTACTGACAATAACCAGTAGTTGCATGAAGGATTTGGACTTGGACTTGTTACGGTTATATGAATGCTAGAGAAATTCTTTTCTCTTCTTTTTTCTGCTTAAATATTCTTTTTCTGATAGGACTAACTTCTACGTTCCTTGTGCAAAGATAAGCGGTCACGATTGCATTCAACATTCTGCTGATAAATCACTATGACAATTCTTGAAACTCAAGAAGATCTGACTCACTGCAATTTTATCTTATATCTCCTGGTTTGTGCTTTGATTTCTCTGCTGTATAAAAAAGAAGACGACCACTGGATCAGTTAATATTCTAGTGCACATTTTGATTTGTGTTATGGTCAAGCACTGCAAAATGCCCCTTGTGTATATATATATATATGTTAGCTAGAACACTCTTTTGCCAACCTTCCCTCCGCACTACATTAACAAAACAAATCGATCAAACTAACCCTTTTATGTATACTTTTCAAGTTTCTGCTTCCTTCAGTCTAGTTGTAGTAAATATGAGGATAAGATAGTAAATTTAACGATATGGCTGAGTACGATTTTGGAAATTCAAAACCACCCAATTACTGAACTGAACTCACTGGCTGGCTAGTTGGTGCTATGCAAATGCAAAGGTGACCCCACAGGCGTGTTCTGGTTAGATGCCCCAGCCTCTTGGATGTACGTCCCTTGCAGCTGCTGCTGACTTGCTATCTTCAACTTCATTCCACCTCCATCAACGGCGGTGGATGGGCGTTGGAGCCCACCTGCAGCTACTCCATTGGACATGTAGAATGCAAGAGGAATACTGTTGTGAACATCACCGGTGCTGCTACCGGCAGAGCCATGACCATGACCAAACAAGGATATTGTAGTCCCAGCAATGCTGTTGTTGTTGTTGTCGTCGTCAGTGTAGGGGTTGATCATGGCCATGATGGGATCGATATTGCGGCGAGGGGACGTGGTGGTAGAGCACTCTCCTCCTCTACCACCAGAAGCAATGACGGTGCTGCTGCTGGTGGGTATCGTGTTGGTGCTTGTATTTGGTATCACCCCACAAGTTGGACACCGGCTCTTAACCTTGCAATATATATATAGCCATGTGGTTAGGTAAATTATATATGTTGATAACAAAGTATAAGAAGCACTAACGCCCACCAAATAAAGATTTCAACTTTCAACTTTAACTCGTAGCTGGTACTAGTACTAATCGATAATTATTGTGAAATTAATATAATGAAATGCATGGATTAAAGAATAAAGGGGGAGTAACCTTATTATTATAGCGGTAGGTGGTGCCATCACGCTCAACAACCCAACCAGCCTCCTTGGCGAGTTCACGGAGGACTTGATTGATATCGGAGCGAGGAGAAAGTTGGTAACCACCATATTTCCTGAGTCCATGGAAGATCTTGGTGGTGATAGCTCTTCTCTCTCTTTCTCTCAGTTTTGTTCTTTCCTTATCACTCTCACTCCTGCCTGATGATGAAGACATTGATGAACCCTTCATGGTTTTTTTGCTTCTCTCTCTCTCTCTCTCTCTCTCTCATCTCTTTGAAATATATATGGTGGGGTTCGTTTATATATGATTTTTGCATGACAAAAAAGAAGATCATGAGGATCACAGTGGAATGCATGTGAGAGACAGAGAGAAGAAACACACATCGAGAGTGATCAGCGCGTGGCTGTCTTGAGATGGATTGGATTGGTTAAGTCGTTAGCTGGAAGCTGATGCATGCCAATGTATGTTATTGGTTGTCTCGGGAATTGACTGGGCCTGGCCAGAGATCACAATTCACAGGGAGAGATCAGTAACATGATTATACGTACCGTACCAAGAGCATTTTTATTTTGGCTTCTGTGGAATAAATGGTTAGCCGTATGCTGAAACCAAACCCGTTTTAGATATATATTAAGACTTTCATTTCGTGTACAATTACCAAATGCATTGAAGGAATCATGCATTCTTATTCAAGAATTAATTTATTCATTAAAAAAAAAATTGAATACCAATTTACAAAAAAGCAATTGATCATACTATATATATAACAAAAATTGCATCAACTTAATTTTTATCACTCCTAAATATATTTAATTCGTTTCTTTCCCTTTTTAGTAATAACAGTTGTTGATAGTTAATTTTATGAATCAACAGAATGGGAATATGCAGTAGCAGCCAGAAGAGGACCCGCTACTAACACAACAAAGATAAAATTAAAAATAAATAAATTGAACAAGTAGTCAAACTTTTAGTCAAAAACTTGGAGACTCTAGCTAGAGAGGTAGAATAACCTCTTCAAAAAGAGGGAAGGGAGAAAGCGATCGAGATTCGAGAGAAACTGAGGATTTGAAGATCTGCTGGTACTGATCAGTACTTACAACAGAAAGTGAAAACTACATGTTGTACTTTTTTTTTTTTTTTCCTGGTGGTGGACTAAAACGGGCAGAAGATGCTCTTTCACTTTCGTTTCGTACAGTAGCAGGGCAGCCCCCGCATTCCAAGTTGAATTACCGAGACAACTTTTGAGTTAAAAACTTGCAATTTTCTTTTTTTTTCGTCTCCCCATTTCTCCTTGCATGGGTATTCCTTCTTCGTTAGAAAATATTAACCGATTATCCGTGCTATGCCGTAGATCCGATAAAATAAAATTATTTTAAAATTTTAATTTTTTTAATTATAATATTTAATTAATTTTTTTAATGTTTTTATAAATTCTTTACTTATAAAAAAATTAATCAAAATAAATCATTTTTCTCTATGAATTGATTTTAAAATTAAAAATTATAATACTTTCAACTAAAATATTAATCAAGTATTGAAAAAAATTTAAAAATATAATTTTCATAATATTTTATTCTAAAAATTAGTTATAATTAATGGATAGATTTTGACAAAAATTAACAAATGAAAAGAATTCTCATTTAATGCCGATGAGAAAAAATAATTTTTAAAATTATCCGCACAATGTTACTCATAAATAGAATAAAATTATTTCAAAATATAATAATTTTTTATTTAATTATTACTATTTTTTGTGTGTTTTTCATAAAATTTTTGCTTAAAAAGCATGATTTATTCTTCGTTATTTAGGAATTCTTAAATAAAAACTTATAGTAATTTAAACCTGAAAAATTAATTAAGAATTCAAAAGCAAATACTTTAAAATTATATTTTTTATAAGAATGAATTTAAAAAATAAAGTTACAATTAATGTATAGACTTACATAAGAATTAACCAATGAAAAAATAAAATTTTATTCTTATTTATTGTTGGTAAGAAGATTAGTTTGTTTCAAGTATATGCATTTGATCTATATATATTTATTGACAAAATAATCAATAAAATTAGCATAGAAAACAATATTTGAATAATTGGTTAGTTCCTTTAAAAAATTATTTTAGTTATCTTATTTCGAATAAATTGGTTTTACAATGTTAAAAAATTATTTATAGTAAATAATTTATATTATGTTGGAAGATGTATAGTTAATTTTTTAATAAAATGAACGATTCAATAATTTTTTTACATGTCTTGACCATATCTAGTGAACCGAGATAAATTATTTGAAATATACTTTTAACCTTTTAGAATAAAATATTTATTTATTTATATATATGCAACTATATAAATAATGGGGGACATTTTATAAATAATGAATTTGATTTTTTTAATGTTCACATTTTTCTCGACTCATGAGAATTTTTTTCTTTAATAGAAGACCAACGTGAGTCACATATCTAATCTAATCTAATCCAATGATAAAATAAAACCAAATTTTTATTTTTTTTTAAAGATTTTTTAATTATTATATAGCGGTTATTTCTTCGTAGTCGAAAATGAAATGATAATTGTCACATCGGATAATTTGAAACACTTGTACATTCAAAATTAGGTCAAAGCAAACATTTGAAAGATGATTATTTTAAATTGGAGAAGGGAAAAACATTGTTGGTTATAAGAGTTTTTTTGCGTGAAGGGATGACATGCTAACAAGCACATGAAAATCAATATAATACTTATAATATATAATATGGTTAAGGAGGATTTGACCTACATAATCAAACCATGTCATCAATCATGTAAAAATTCAAAGAATTCATGATATATATATTATAAAAATTATTTTTTAAAAAAGAAAAAAAATCATGTTTAAAATTTTATTTTATAATTCAAATATAGAGAAAAATAAATTATATAATATTAGTAAATAAAATTTCATATAAAAAATATTAATTGGATAAGAATTTTGATTAAAAAAAAATGATAAATTCAAAGAATGAAATTTAAATAATAACCATAATATAAGCTGAATTATATGTTAATTTCAAAATATAAAAAGACATATTATATAATCATCAAGTTGTGTGGAAAAACGTTATGATTGATTGTTCAAAATTTTAACACCTAATTAAAAAAAGAACATAAATTGATGAAAAAAGCAAAGAAAAAATTAATTTTTTTTAAAATTTTAACATCCAATAAAATAAAAAAAGAACATAAATTGATGAGAAAAAGTATAAAAAAAAAAAAAAAAAACCAAAGGAAAAAAGGGGCATGTGTAGTGCTTCAATCAAGGAATTAAAATTTTTATTTTAAATTTTTAGGGGCTAAAATTAAAAAAATAAAAATTACAAAAAAATATTTATTATAGGGATGAAAATCAAATATAATAAAATTTTAATCACCGAAAGAAAAAAAAGTTATAAAATAGGGACTAATCTTAAAGTTAAATTTACTAAAAGTAAAATGGAGCTTTGGGGGAAGAGAGAGGGAAAAAAATGAATAAGTGAATGATGAAATTCAAATATAGTAAATTTTAATGACCAAAAAGAAAGAAAGTTATAAAACAGGAACTAAAACAAAAGTGAAGTTTATTAAAATCAAAAGGGAGTCGTAGGTCGTGGTGGAAGAAGTGAAAAAAAAAAAAGAATGAATAATTAATAAACGAGTGCTTTCCCTATAATGTTTCATGGTTTTCTTTTAGTTTAGTTTGTAATTGTTGTCAAAGTAGATGCTAAATGACAAATAGAGTAATATATATATATATAAAAGAAACTAAAAGATCCGGGATTCTCCTTTACTTACTCGTGCATTGTGATACATGTTTACTCGTTGAGAGGCTTCATTTGATATCGGTCGTTCATTTTGGATTTGTTTTTCATCTTATTCGCATGTTTGCTTCTTGATATCTACCCTCCTCAATTCTTCTTAATTCCTTTTTTGCCGTTCATTTTCTTTATTGATTTACCCTTCTGCTCTTGATAGTTTGTTTCTCCTCAATTTCCTTTCTATCATATTTTAGTCTTTTCCTTCATTGGTGGGTTAGCCCTCCTTATTACATTAAGGTGTGGTTTGATAATCGGGAATAAAGTGATAGGAATAGGAATGTAGGAATCGGAATGGTATTTGTATTCCAATACCGTGTTTAGAATACTAATAAAGAATCGGAATGCAATTTAAATTTTTAATATATGATTTTATATACAAATATAAATAATGATTAAAAAATAATTTTATTAAACTATAATAGTTATAAAAATAATAAAGGTGATGGTAGTGATTGTGGTGGTGGTGGTGGTGGTGGTGATTGCGATGATATTAGTAGTGGTAGTAGTTGTGGTGGTTGTAGTTATGATGGTGGTGGTGGTGATGATGGTTGTGAAGATAGTGGTGGTGGTGATTGTGGTTGTTGTAATGGTGGTGGTAGTGGTAGTTGTAATGGTGGCAAAAGTAGTTAATAGATAATAAATAAATAAAATATATTATTATTTTTTTAAAAAATTCATTCCCATTCCTTGTTTTTTATTCCCACATCTTATGTGGGAATGAAGTTGTGTGTAAATTTTCATTCACATTCTCATTTCATTCCTTTTAACCAAACAACTACAATGTGGGAATAAAACTTCTATTCTCATTCTCACCACTCTATTCTTGATTACCAAACATCACCCAAATGTAATGAGGAGGGTTAACCCACCAATGAAGGAAAATGCTAAAATATGATAGAAAGGAAATTGAGGAGAAACAAAACATCAAGGGCGAAGGGCAAATCAATAAAGAAAATGAATGACAAAAGAGGAATTAAGAAGAATCAAGGAGGGTAGATATCAAGAAGCAAACATGCAAATAGGATGAAAAAAAATCCAAAATGAACTAGCTGATATCAAATGAAGCCTCTCAACGATAAACATGTATCACAATGCACGGTAAGTAAATAGGAGAATCCCGGATCTTTTAGTTTCTTTTTTTGATATATATATATATATATTACTCTATTTGCCATTTAGCATCTACTTTGACAACAATTACAAAATAAACTAAAAGAAAACCATGAAACATTGTAAGGAAAGCACTCGTTTATTAATTATTCATTCTTTTTTTTTTTTTTTTTACTTCTTCCGCCACGACCCACAACTCCCTTTTGATTTTAATAAACTTCACTTTCGTTTTAGTTCCTGTTTTATAACTTTCTTTCTTTTTGGTCATTAAAATTTACTATATTTGAATT